GCTTAATCCAAGAAGAATGAAGTCCTTGACAACTTCAATCTTTTCTCTATTGGTAAGACTGTTGTTTATTGGTTCAGTGGTAAGGATTTTTCTTTTCTTTACATTGAGATGCAATCCATACTGAAGGCTGTGGTCTTTGATCTTCATCAGTAAATAGTTTAAATTCTCTTCACTTTCAGCAAACAAGGTTGTATCACCTGCATATCACAGGTTGTTAATGAGTCTTCTGCCAATCTTGATGCCACATTTTTCTTCATATAACCCAGCTTCCTGGATTATTTGCTCAGCATACAGGTTGAATAAGTATGAGCTATAGGGGTGAGTTAATTGTACAATTGAAATGTGTTTAAGGGCTATAATTATAGTGAATCTACCAGTCTTTATCTGACCGGTAAGCTTGGTCTTTGTTTTTCTTTATGATTTTGAGTTTTGCTTCACATTTTCCTTCCACTCCATCCAAGGCTTTCTATTGTGATCCCTTTCAGAACATCAGCAGTGGTAGCCTGACACCAACCATTTCTTCTAAATTTAGGAATGTGAAGGCTGGGATAGACCTTTAGTACTTTGACCTAATTGTTTCCTTGAATCTTTTATTATCTTCACTCTTCTTTGCTCCAGATGAAAGCAGAGAAATAGTAACATCTTAGATAGTTGCTCACAAAAATTTAAGGATCCAATTGCTACTCAGCAAGGTAGGATATAAAGCAATGACTTTCTGGATTATGTTATGCCAGTTTACCTTGGTGTTCCCAATGGACCCATACACTCATTTTTCTCAAGGTGTTTGGTATGACTAAGAAGTTTTTGTAACATAGGTCCCTGTCTTCTCTATCACCACCACATATCTGTCAGTTTGTCATACTGTGGTGGCTTGCATATTGTTGTGATACTGATAGCTATGCCACTTATTATAACTACCAGCAAAGTCACCCATGGTGGACAGGTTTCAGTGGAGGTTCCAGACTAAGACAGACTGTTGTTGTTGTTGTTAAGGGCTGTTGATTCAGTTTCAACTCAAGGAGATTCTATGTAGGGTTTCTGGGAAGCAGTTTATGAATTTGAACCACCAACCTTGCTGTTCAAACTGAACTTGTGATCCAGTGCTAATCCTACAGCATCACACTAGGACTCCTCGACTCAAATGCATTACTGAAATGCATCACATTTATTTTGCAGTCCTCCTTATTCATTGTCCAACTTTCACATGCATTTTAGGCTATTGAAAATACCATGGTTTAGGTAAGGCACACCTTAGTCCTCAAACTAATATATTTTCTCTTAAACACCTTAAAATGGTCTTGTGTAGCAGATTTACCTTGTGCAATACACTGCTTGATTTTTTTTCCATGAGCATTGGTTGTGGATCAAAGCAAAAAGAAATCTTTGACAACTTTAATCTTTTCTCCATTTATCATATTATTTATTGATCCAGTGGTAAGGATTTTTGTTTTCTTTACATTAATTAAGGTGCAATCCATACTGACAGCTGTGATCTTTAACTCCATCAATAAGTACTTTAAGTCCTCCTTGCTTTCAGCAAGTAAGGATGTGTCATCAGCATATCACAGATTGCTAATGAGTCTTCCTCCAGTCCTAATGCCACATTTTTCTTCATGCAATCCATTTTCTCAGATTATTTTCTCAGCATAGAGATTGATTAATATGGTGAAAGAATACAACCTTGGCACACACCTTTCCTAATTTTAAAACATCAGTCTTCCCATGTTGTGTTCAAATGACAGTCTCTTGGTCTATTTACAGATTCCTACCTAAGGAGCTCTGGTAGCATAGTGGTTACAAATTGGGCTGCGAACCTTAAGGTCAGCGGTTCGAAACTACCAGCTGCACCGCGGGAGAAAGACGAGGCTTTCTACTCCCGTAAAGATTTTCACCCTCGGAAACCCTATACAGGGTCGCTATGGGTCGGAACCGACTCGATGGCACTTAACAACAATGAACACAATTAATTGTCCTGGAATTCTTCACAATGTTATCCATAGTGGAATGCCAACTACAACATTAACCACAAAGTTGAAAGCCTTTGAAAAGCCAATCAAGCACAGGTAAACATCTTTCTGGTATTCTCTGCTTTAAGCCAAGATCCACATGGCATCAACATTGATATCCCAAGTTCCACATCCTCTTCTGAATACCAGTCCATTTCAGCTCACTAGTGAAGTGACTACGATACTGATCTTTATGTATTCCAGTTCATTTTGACAACTTCCAATTTTCCTACATTCATAATGTGTAACATTGCACATTACAATTATTTATTGATGCTCGCATCGGCTTATTCACATTTTGAGTTGTGCCCCATCTGAAAGCTTTGCTTCACCCAAGTCATTAAGATCAACTTTGTTTTGAGGTTGCTTCTCATCACCAGTTATATTTTGAGTGCCTTACCACTCGCTTAAATGGAACTCATTTTCCAGCATTAAATAAGACAATGAATGCTCTGTTGCCATTTTTAAGATTTTCAGCACTAATCTTTCAGAATTATCTGTCTCTTCTTCCTAGAATGTTTTTGTTGGGAAGCTGCACTGGAACTTGTCCACCATGGGTAGCATAGCTTGCAGAATTGCAGCAACACACATGATATCACAGCATAACAAATTGACAGATGAGTGATGATGGATCATTCTAGTAGATATTTTTGTTTGCTTTTAAATTCTAGTCTATTTCTAAACAAGGTAAAAGGAGTTGCTCCATAGTCCAGTCTATCTGTGTAAAAAATTTTCACTGAATTGGCAGTGGATAGGAGAACTAA